TTCCTTCGACACCCTAAGCTCGAAGTTAGGACCGGCTGAGGAAGCAAACGCTCCCAAAGGTAAGGTCCTGTACTACTACCACTACTACTACTACTACTACTACTACTACTGCTGCTACTACTACTGCTACTACGACGACGACGACGACACGACGACGACGACTACGACTGCGACGACGACGACGACGACGACTACGACTACAACTACGACTACGACGACTACTACTACCACCAGTACTGCTAGTACTGCGGCAACAACTGCTGCTGCTGCCGCTGCTGCTGCTGCTGGTGGTGGTGGTGCTGCTGCTGCTGCTCCTACTACTACTTCTTCTTTCGCTGCTCTCGATAATTGTAGTGATGGCGGCAAGTTTCGTGAGCGTGCACCTAAAAACGCAGGAACAATCACAGCTTTATGGACAGATTAATCCCATAAGTTTACGCCATGTGCAAGCCCTGTCCGCAGACTTCGGCGGCTTTCCGCCGCAAGGGACCGTGCTGCGCTGGGCAGCCTGCAGCTCAATAGCTCAGTTTCAGGATGGTTCAGGCGAGGGACGGTTTGCAAGCAGATTGACGTTCAGTCCGAGCTTTGTTCAACCTGCGGGAGTTGCTGTGTATCGCAGTCAATCAGCGGCTGTGAAATGCCAAGAGTCAAAGCATGTCAAAGCACACAATAGTCTTTTGCATCCGGCTGAGTTCGGTCCAAGTGAGAAGATCCAGGGCACCCTGTCACCCTGAGGTCCCGACGCCAGCCAATGCGTGGCCAAGTGGACAAGCCAGCATGGACATCACTGTACCCTCAGAGATGCCGCCCAGCTGCACGGAGCTCCTGACATCATCTTGCTCTAGCTACATGGGGTCGACGTTGCTGTTGGCTTCCACATTGCAGAGCATTGTCACAAAGTCCCACGTTAGTCTTTAGCAAATCGGAGTTGCATGGATGAAGGTGGATACAGATACTTTCATCTCACACAAAAACAAACAAACAAACACACACACACACACGCGTAACTACTTTTTCGCAAAACAACAGCACCCCCGAAGAATTCCCACGAGCCCCTGTGCCGTATGCACCTGTTGATTTGGCTCAGGGTTTTCGCAAACCCAGCGCCGACCTGCGTGCTTTGACCTCAGCGTGCCGACCAGTCCGATTCAGCTTCCCGATGGTCGTGAATTCATTGCTCATTCCGACTCATTCCTCAAGCAATTACTGCACATGGCATAAGGCAAAAGATGGCATGAGGGATTGGAGGCACAAAACGCTGGAAATCATGAAGTTTAGCTGTTTAGCTCGGGTGCTTGGCAAGCCCAGCCGTAAGCCAAGCGAGCGGTGACAAGCCCGTGAGGATCACTTGCTTGCATTTCGCTGATTCGAACCACAGCCTGGCAGACTTTCCGACGTCATGAGCGCGAATGTCCCCGGGTCTGCCGGTGCATGTCCGGTAGCCTCTGTGATAGGCCCCCTCTGCACGTCCCCAAGGCCAGCATGGTTCGACCTCAGCCAGGCCATCCACGTCATTGCAGGCTAAGGTGCGGCCGAAGACCTGCGCCCCCCTCATACCGTCCGGGGCATTTGCATAATGGCATATGCCAACATGAGCAGCCGGTGGACGAAGAAGAGACCTGACGATAATCCACTTGTCCCAAGAAGCCTGCGCCCAATTGATCACGTCGCTTGCTCGAGTTTCACTTTGGCTTCAGCCACGTGGGGAAGCTTGAAGTACTTCGCTGAGTCGCGAGGGATCTGGGCCACCACATCTGACACACACACACACACAAGCACACACACACACGCACACACAAGCAAACAGATGTGAGCAAAACACCGTGTTGGAGCATGGTGATTAGGAGTAGAAACCATTTTTTGCCCATGGGCTCCCTGTTCCGTACTATCTACTCCTGTCAGACAACGGCAGACCTGTCTACCCGCATTCAGCGAGAGACTTGAAGCATTTTGAAGCTGCGATGGCATTTGCCGCGACCCATTTCCGTGCAGAGCTCAGGCGCATGAGGCAACCTCCCTTGACAAAGTACTCTGGTAGGAAGCACATGACATGAAGGGAGCAACATCACCAGCAACAGCAACCCAAAGCACCAGCAGCACGACCTCGCGCCTTTCATGACTGCCATGTCAGCATCGGTGGTGAAGTCCAGCAGCTACTACACCACCGCCACAGGATTGCTCCGAAGTGCCTTGCGGTGCCTGCTACAGCGCATGTAGTAGGCATGTAGGCAGTGTCGTAATTCTATGGGCTGCCCCCACGGGCGGGTAGCGCAGGTAGAAGCCTGGACCAAGGCCACGCACCCCTCTGCCAAACTCCGATGATGCTGATGATGCAAGCCCTTCTGGGTCTTCCATAACCCACTCAAAAATTGGCAAAACATCGCCTCGGGCTGCCTGGGCCGCTGCATGCACGCCGGGTGCTCGTGATGCTCGCCGGATGCCCTCCTGCGCCAAAACGCGTGCGTTGCCAGGTGAGCCTCGAAACGGGGTCAACGGAAAAGCCAGGGTCCGATGAAGCAGGTCGAGCAGTGCAGGTAGCAGCCCGGACGCACGCAGCCCCCTCCGCCGAACCCCGACGCTGATGTTGCGCGCCCTTTGCGGGCGTCCCGTCATCGTCACCATCAGCATCTAAGCTCCCGAGGTCCAGAATCCGACAGTACAGTGGCGAGATAAACGAAACCAATGAAGCATCGAGAAGGTTTTGGCTGGGCTTCGGATTGCGGCTGGTTTCCAGGCCCATGTTCCACAGCTCCTCGCTGCGTAGACATACGCCAGGGATGACCATGCCCGGATTAGTAATTTAATTCGAGTTTCGAAGATTTCTGCAGCCCAGCAGGAGAAGAGGAAGAGTACGAAGAAGAGACGGAAGATGATCCAGAGGTCTGGACCGGCCTAAGACCGAAGAGATTGGAGCATGCATCTCATGCCACCTCCCTGATCATTCGCAACAGCTTCTGTTTAGCCGTCCGTTTCGCACCAACAGTAGTAGTCTTTTGGTGACGTGACAAGCAAGAAGTAAACAGGTACATGAAAAGGCGGCCACCCAGGGTTCTTGATTGCCAGGAGTCGTCGGAGGTTTCGTCGCTCCATCCCCCTCCGCTGCCAACGGTTGCGGCTTGGACACTCACAGCTTGTAAGAATGTCGCGATGATGGCCCTCCGGAATCTAGTCTCGTCAGCGTGTCCGATAGTCCGGCACGGGCAGTTTAGAGGGCCGTCGAAGTGTGGTGGACTCTTCGTCACGGGCCCATGGCTGTTCATGCAGACAGCACGGTTTACACACAAAGCGCGATGGCAGTGGGACCCTTCAGGTTGCGGGGCGCTTCCGGCTGCAGGGCGAGATTGGCTCTGGCTCCTACAGCGTCGCTGGGATCATTTTGATGTGGAGAGCAGTCATGCCATCTGTTGTCACAAGTGTAAGCAGAAAGCTTCAAAACACAACGAAGGAAGTCTACATGGGGAAGGAAGACGAATCGGGCGTTGAGCTCAGATTGACTTGCTGCCGCTGCACAGCCATGCACAGCCACATGTCCGACCTTGTTGTGGCTGAAGACACGGACAGGGGAGGCAAGTTTTGGCAAAGCCCGTGGTTTTCCACGATGTAGAAGGACTGTAAGAATCAGAACTTCACAGGGGCCTCGACAAACATCATTCCAGAATTGCAACGCAACGTCCCAACCTCTCGGATCTGGGTGGTGGCTGGCTGGAAGCCTGTGGGCCAGAAGTTCCAAAGCACATCAGGTGACAACGTGGCCATCAAAGTCGTAGTGGCCTTGGCAGCTTACTCCTTGACTTGCATAGGGCGCAATGCCTTGTCCGAGGAATGGCACCATTCAGAGAAGGGTGCAAAGCTGCCTGAGCCTCGGCAGATCTGCCGCCACAAGCGGAAATCGTCAGAGTTTGAGGCCCTTTTGCATGGAATGTGAATTCACTCCAGCTGTTCGCAGGGAAGGGGTGTGCTGTGAGCTTTTCAGGAGGGCGAGACCTTTGGTGTGACCCGCACTTGTTCTAGGGGGGACGGGACAAGTATGCTCGACGTGATTAGCAACCGGAGCATCTCCATTACTTGGGTGAGACGTTTGGGAACTCTGCCCAGGTTGGAAGAGGCGAAGTTCTACACATCTCTCGGTCTGCACAGCCGTGAGGCTCGCTGGTGGCAAATTCTGCTTGCCCCAAATGCTCTCGAATCCTATACAAACCCATGAACCGGTACAGATCCCAAAGGCACAACCATTCTGACGACCGAATTGATGCTGCATGGACTCCTGCGATCCTCTGCACCTCACACCCAGACGATCCCGTCCCCAGGATCCTCAGTGGCCTCTCATCAGCACCTCGGCTGTTTTTGGGCCAGGATGTCAAGGCACCTGGTCTCCGCCTTTCGCCTCACCGGAAGCTTCAAATTTAGTCGCGTCTAAGATTTCTGCGCAGAACTTGGACAAGAGAATAGCTCTGTGCGAACTTCAGGATGGGTTGGAACTGAGGGGCAGTACGACATGATGGTCATGGATTTGCCCCTTGTCTTGTGCATGCCGCATGTCATTTCGTTCATCGGCATCCTGACGTGACATGTGCTACTTGGCCTTCGGGTCAGGTTTCATCAAGCGAGAACTGTCGTTGTGTGCGTGAGGCTTGGGCCATCACTGGATGCATGCTTCAAGCACTGTGGATCATTTAGTTTGAAGACTGTACTGACAGTCGCCATTCAGTCGCTTGGAGGCAGCAAGAGGCTAGCTAGTCCAGTCCGCGCATTGCAGTAATCTTCAAGTCCATGCTGCTTGCGCAGTCTTCCACTGACATCCTTGTACAGCAGTTGATCTTGACCTTGTGCCATGAACGGCTTTGCATCTGGTGGTGTCCTCTTGGGAAGATGAGACCACAAGCTTAGGATAATCGACCGCCTCGAATACGTGCACAACTGCGGCATTTTGTACAGAGACATCAAGTTTTTCGGCCGCATCCCAGTTTGGCCGTGCCACGGTCCTCCGCCCACTAAGTCAGCTCAGGCCGCACAACTTTTTGATGGGTTTGGGAGATCCAGCCTCAGTGGGAGACGTGTCATACGTGTCCTCTCTGTCTCAGAGCAGTTCCTCCTTTCCATGTACTCCCCCGAGGCACACAGCAGCAGAGTCTACATCGTAGACTTCGGGCTTGCAAAAAGCCACGTGGCAGCGGTTTCAACGCTTGCCCACGTCGTCTGATTGGCCGTTCGCACCTGTTAAAGCGTAGGTCGTATCACACAACTGTGGCAGCTTGGATCCAAGAGAGCTCTATATCCTGTCGATGGCATTCGATGGCCCAGAACCCTAACGATCAGCAGAATCCAATTTCCCCGCCAATCTGGACAGATCTACATGTCAGCTCTCGGTTTCGAAACCTCTCAAGCGCAAGGATACATTGACAAGCACGGCCGGTGCTGTTCTTAGTGCCGTGCTGCTTGAGAAGTGGTCGGTCACAGGAACCTCTCCCATAGATGTGACCAGAAGCGCCAGTACGTTTCAGGCATATGGCATGTTCCAGCAAGAAGCGGAGCGGCGTAACCGGCGGCGGCCTCACTTTCTTCAAGAGTTTCCTGTTCATCTTGTGGGTAGACCCACCATTATTTGTGCACCGGCACGGGAGCGCGGCTTACAACAGACTCATACATTACCGAACCGCGGGTCCTGCAGCTCAAGACGGCAAACCCTGGTTACTGCAAGAAAGTCTCATCTACTACGCCCCAGAGCCTTCAACCTTCTTCCGAGGCACCGTGCGGCCCAGCCCTCAGCTAGATCCAGCTTCAGAACTGCAATCGTTGGGTTTCTTGTGCAGCTTTGCGCCGCGTGTGGCTGCCGTTTGGACTTGCTTTCGTGCATGGTACTTGATTACGGGCCCCAGGAGGTCGAGCTCGGATACGGGGAAGTGATAAGCCACAAGGGGACCCCCCCCCCAAGAGCATCCAGGCCTGGGACGGCAGAGCTCTCCTGAGGTACAGCTCGATCAATGTGCATGAAGGGATTGACGCGAGTCGTCGCGATGACTTAGAAGCCACAGGCAAGCTGAGTGTTGGTGCTGCTGTTGGCCGTGGGCCAAGCAAGCCTTCATAACGCTACGCTTGGCAGGCTACATGTTTGTGCATTTTCTTCGAGGCGCCGCAATTCAAAAAGAGAGGACGGCCGCTTTGATGACAGTAGCATGCAGACGGCTGCAATCAGGCGACTTGCCTTGGCTTGGCCTCAAGGCATATGGCTTGATCGCCTTGCACACCCAACAAGTGAGTCTACTTCAAAAATTGGTCTCTGGGCGCCACGCAGGCTCACTCCAAAAAATCGAAGCATAAGGCCATCGGCCGTCGGGCGCCGAGCTGCATTTACAGTCTGCCTGTGCTCGGCCCTGTGCAATGCTCGGATAGAGAGCTACTTTTTGCTCAGGTGTAAAGATGCAGACAAGCGATGAGGAGCTTTGAGCCTCAACTGGATTCGTTCTGAAATTCAGGTGGCGTTTCGAGATGCTGGGCTGTGAGTCAGCCTGGCTTAAGACTGTTCAGCCCTGCGGTTGTTTCTTGAGCGCTGTGACTCAGGCAAGGGATTCCCTGACGAATTTCGCCGGGGACTGAGATTCGAGAGAAGAGAGAGAGTGAAAGACGAAAGCCCCTGCGTTTGTGGCGAGCGTCCAATTCATTATTCGCCCCACAACAGTCGGTGGCGCAACTGCGCGCGGTGAAGGGGGGCTACCCCTTCACCCTAGCCCCCACGACAGACAGAGAAAGAAGAGAGTGAGAGTGAGTCCCGCCTGCACGCAGCGTGGACCCGCAGCAGCATAGATCTGAGAAAGCGGAAACCAGCAATTCAGGTGAGTTCATCGCCTATTCGAAGTCACTGGGGTACGCTGACCAGCCAGACTACGAATACTTGTACCTCTTCAGCACCTGAGTGTCACACAGTGCGCAAAGTTTGTAGAGATGTTCACCTGAGCGTGGTGCCATCTCCAAGATTTCATCTCTTTTTGTGTTTCGACCTGTGCGTCTGGTTCAGGCGTGGCCTTTTCCGAAAGCTCTTCGAAAGGCAGAATCAGACATGGTGCCTAGCACGCCAAGGTGTGCCGCTGTATTAGTCAGTTGTGTGTGACCTGCAGGCAGGGCTTTCGCTTGGATGGCCAGTTTGAGTGGACGGACAAGATGCTTGGCTGCAAAGCAGTTAATGTTAAGTGCCATGCAGGGTAAAGGAGATGAGCTCCATCCGGCCATCTGGTCTACCCTGGTGGTTCGGGCAATGCTCGGTGCTTCAATTTTCTTTGTCGTTGCCTCCAAGTGACTATGAAGTTCGTTGGGGGTCACCTGTCAGATTTCTTCGACAATGTCTGTTCGAAGCCGTTGTAATGGCGCGGAACTCGACAAACTTGGTGACCAGGCCCCTCCCTCCACCGGACAAGCGGAAAAAGATGAAGTCCTGCTCGCGCGACCTGCGACTACTTCGGGAGGCATGCGGCTGGGGTGTCTTTTTTCGTAAGCTCTAATCATTGGTTTGACACACTCCTGATTCTGAGGGCCGGTATCAACTTACGGAGCACGAGTAAGATGGATTCAATGGCTGGACTTCAATCCCGGCCTCTCGAGCCCTTCGACTTTGACCCCAAAATTCTGAGCACCGGGATCTCTGGGGCTACAAAGCCCTCAAATACCCTAGCCGCCTATTCGTCCTAACTCCCGCACTAGGGTCCTAAAGCCCCGAACCCCACAACCCCCTCTCATCCTTCTCCTGTCAGGCAAGGGCCTGCCAAGAGGCTCAGGCTCTGGGTTTGCCGGGGTTCCGGGCTATTACCGGCATTTATGGGGTTTACTAGGTGATTTTTAGGGTTTGCGGGAGTCTAGGGTCTTGCATGCCACTGGTGTCTACGGCGGGTTCCAAAACAAGGGCTATCTTCTCAGTGGTTCGAATCGCTATTATGCTACTACTACTGAGAAGAACGGCTTAGTTTACAGTCGAACTCCAGGAAACGAAACCTAGAATCCAGATGTCGACTCTCGTACATTTCTTTCCCTTCGGTTCTGACTTCTTGGCTGTAAGGTGCCCTAGATCTGAATCTGTCATCAATGTCTCATTCGGGAATTCGATAAAGCCCCCCAAGAGGCCATGACGTAAGAATTGTAGCACGTTTTTGTAGTAAAGTACGACCCAACACCCTTAATATGGCGCGTATCCATCCGAGGGCGCCCTTGCACATTTTGTCACCATGCTGGTACCAGTAGCAGTGTCACACCACAAACTGAAAGTGATGAGATTGCAGAATCCAGGCCCGTAGTAGCAAAGTCAGGGTTTCAAAATACATGTGCTTTTTCTTAAACAAACAAGATGTTCGCTTTCATCTGCAACGGTTAGAATCCGTTAGAACTGACAATGTCTTGAGAGGTGTCGAAAAAGTCATCGCAGCGAAGCATTTCACACAGCAATACAGCAACACGATGCAAGATGCTAGCAAAGTGTTGTGGTACAAAGCACCCTTGTGGAGCGGTATAGCGGCATGCAATCTACATGCTTTTGTAACATGGCACCGTCGTACAACTGTGCTGTACTTTGCCGGAAGATCTGGAAGGCAGCTTACTGCCAGACTTTGCAGGTAGCCGATCCAACCTCTCCCATGCAAGTCTCTCGGCAGATTCGATGCTTTTTGCGCGAACCACTTGTTGCACATAACGTCTGAACCAAAGGTTCGCAGTAATCCAGAATTCGGATACTTCACCACATCGGATTTCGTCACACCGTCGTCCCTGCAACATCTCCCCGCACCCTGCTAGGTCACCCTGTTTCCCCTACGTGTTCCTGATGGGACGAGAAGGGTTTGTCATTTGTGAATGCAGTGTTCGAGATTCAGAAATTACGCGACATTGTGCCATGACGTGGATGTGCAAAGAGCGTAAAAATGACTCCAAGACCTCGCTTTGGGGTTTCTGCTCCACGGCGGCATTTTTTTGCAAAAGCCCCAATTCGCCGAGAGTGAAGCTGAGGTTTCGCGATCACGGAGCCGTGATCGCAGAAGGGATGGTAGATGTTGAGCGGAAAAAGTTCGTGCTGCTGGCGTTTGCGTCATCCGCAGCAGTATTACTGACCTGCTGTGCTTCTGCATGTGCAGCTTGCGGATAGGACGCAGCGGAGTTTCGTTGAATTTAGATGGTCATGTCAAGGTAAGTCGTGAGACGAAGCATCCACCAAGCCGCGGCAACCGCGCAGGTCGCGAGCTTCAGGCGGACTCCGTCCGCTTCGCCTAATGCCATAAGGACCTCTGAAGTCCATTTGTGTTTCTCGTGCGTTCCTAGCTGCGGTCCCAGCCACTCCCTGGGGCAGGATCTCAGCAACTTCCAGGGCCGCTGCCGAAACGCAGATTAGCAAAGCGTGTGGGCGCTTAGCGTACCCCCTTCGTTACGAAGCCAACTGCGCAGGAGAAGCCTCACATGCACTACTTAGGAACTTACAGACGTTTTTCCAAGCTTTGAGCGCGATGCTCCTCCTGTGCTTCTGGGTTCGACAGCAGAGAGGTGACGAAGTCACTCTGAGATTTGTAGCGGGGGTTGCCACGTGGTCCTGGTTCCACTCCGGAGTACAACCGATCATCGCCACATGAGTCTATCTGCTAGATGCATCGCTCGCTGGGTCTCCTCATTCCTAGTTGGACCAGCGACCATGTGACAGACAGCAGGTCTTTCTCGACACTGGGGTAATGGCCGGATGTTCTTTGCCTTGAAGTATGCATAGCACATTGTAGCATTGTGTACATAGATTAATCAGTATCCTGAACTATCCCGAAGCTGCCATCGGGCTCTGGTGGGACCCTAGTGTTGAGACAGATTGGAATCGCACGGCGCGTTTCTCATGCAATCTGATGTGAAGTTTGATGAATAGTAAAAACTGGACCGGCGAATGTCGTGTGAGCCACTTGCAGTCACTTGATGGCATGCTGCTGATGGCCACAAGGCCATTACCTACGAGTTCTCTTCGAACAAGTGCTTGCAACAGATTGCTGTGGAGCCTTCCAGTCGCGCGGGTGTGAGCAGCATGGCCCTAGCCTGACTTGCCGGGGCACGTGCGACACAGAATTTCAGGTGTTGAGTGACGTGCTAGACATTAGGGAGGCTACATGCTTCTGTACAAGGTTTGGAACGTGGGCAAGTCAGTGCTGAATCGCTGATAGTGATCGTGAACATGCCATCGAATGGAAGAAGCTCCACGAGAGTTCTCAACGGAGGTTATGCAGAGCTCAAGTTACGTGGCTAGCGGCTTGGGGTTCAGCCTAGCCTCCAGTTGTTTTCCGTAAGGGGTTCTGCAGTGGAAACGGGACCATGCGCACTCATGTCTAGCTTAGCTTCTTCGTTTTGATTCGTGCGGTGTGTCCATAACATCATGGGGTCGGGGCTTCCATCTTCTGCGAATTTCAATTTTCTGCATATCTTCATACATCTTCCATACTTAAATAATAACAAGGTGTCATCGAAGCTGCTGTTTCAGATGCAGAGAAGAATCGCATTTTGCACGGCCAGCGCCATCCTTTCCGATCTCTTGGGCCGCCGTGCCTGGTGTTGATACATGCCAGACCCCACGATGATGCGCTTGCTTTTGGCAGTAGTCCCTTCATACACCCATGAGTCGCAGAAACGTATATGCTGGAAGATTAGATGATTAGGCAAGAACGGCAGTCAGTTCGTGATCCTCTTCTAGATTTCTGGAGCATTCCTGACATCCAGGCCGGAGGGTTGAGGCACGAAGCGTATTTGCTACGTGATATTCATGCACATCGAAATTTTAAATTTATCAGTTTGCAGTATATTATTATAGTAAAGCAGAGTATAGTGCACTATATTTATCATGGTATAGAAAAGTATATGCCCAGAAGCAACCGCTCTCGATTTGTTGATTGCGTGATATTGCGTGGATGTCGGCGCCGCTGGTGACGAAGGCCGGCCTAAAGCGGTGTGAAGCTTTGAGCTGAAGGTCCTTAACGGCCCCCAAAGACCGAATTGGTAAACCGAAAGGTTTCTTGAGCTTCCTAACATGTCGGGCAGGTTGCATCGCGAGTTGTTTGTACATACTGCTCTTCCCAGAGCTCGTGCACATGCTGGGCACTCAGACTCAGTTGCTTTGTCGTCACTTACTCGTAGCGGCGAGCAGGGATGCTGTTTTGCTCTCAGGCTTCTCAGCCTTGTCGACGCGCAGGGGTGTCACCAGAGGAGAAGTCCCAAAGCAGCGCTTCGGCCTCAGATCCCCTCAAGCAGACTCGAGCACAGCCCTGAGCCCTAAGAAGAGGGAATCGGAGGTTGATGTGCCTCTTTAGGTCTCACCATGTCAGGCAGCCACAACTAGATAAGTGTCACTGCGGCGGTGCCTTCCCGACTGATCTGCGAAACTTGCCATACTCTTGCACAGGTTGCAATGCACCACAGGAACTGGTCGGGAAGCTGCTCGTGTTTGATGTTTTTTAGCACCGTTGATTCTCCAAGTGCGAGTCATTTTAAAGACGAGCGCTTTCTCGAGTCGGGCCAGTCAGCCTGATGGGACCACACTTTTGGTCCCAGCCGATGAAAGTGAATCACAGCGGAGAGATGGTGGATGCCCTCTCCAGGCACAGACCAGTGATGGTTTATTCGGTAAGAGCCGTGGCAAAGCCGATTTGCGATTGCGTTTGTTTGTCTTTTGTGGGGTCGTGACGCCGGGAAGGGAAGCCAGGACCAGGTCGTGACACATCCGGTATGCGGCAGCTGGCTGAGATGCAAAAAATGCAAAACGGCACGACGCTTGCAACAGACCTTTGCAGTGCTCGTAGGTGTTTACCATTGTTTACCAGAAAGTCACATTCTTTGGCAGGCACCGGTGGCGAAAAGAAAACCGGCATGATGCTGGACGATGCTGAGCTATGAGCCGAGCCGAAAAAGCACAAGACCCTGAGGTCAAGGTCACGTAGAATCACGGATCCGTTCGTTCGTTCAGCTTCGGCTTCTGAATCAATCTGAAACCGTTTGTGTAGACCAATGACATGAACTGAAACCTTTGACTTAAATGAATCAAGATAAAATTATGATATATCTATGATACTGTATTGGAAAAATCGATGTAAAGGTAGAGAGATATTTTACTCTATAAAACACTGCGCGTTTCCTCTGCTTTGGGATTTGCGCACGACGGCTGCCGGTACGAAAACACGAAACTCCCGCGATTTTGGTATCGTCGGCAAGCTTGCGGCTGTCCGCATTTAAATTAAAGGCGAGTCCTTAGCACGAAGCCCACGGTTTTGAGGGTTTCGTACTAGACGCGTTACGTGGTACGAAACCCTGAAAAATGCTAAGCGTTTCGGGGTCTCGTGTTGTACGAAACTCCGGAAATCGAGAAAGGTAGGATTTCGTGATTACTAAATTCGTGTATTCCATTTTTCATTTCATTGCGCCTGTCGATAAGCATTGGATCTTATCGTCGTTCTATTGAAACTTCAAGCTACGCGGTCCTTAGTTATTATTATTTTTTTGTAATACTATACTGAATTTTAATTCTTATGTACTCTATATTTTGTTTGATTCTAGAAGGAGGTTGATTAGATATCGATTGTAGTTACATATTGTAATATAGTAAAGGATGTGCCGAGGTATTACGAAGTGACGGAGGATGAGGAGTCTCACGCAATGACAATCGAGGGCGCGTGTGGTGCGAATACACATGAGTTGTCGAATTGGCGCGAATACTCAAGAGTTGTCGAGTGGGGAGAAAGCGAAATTGAGTAGTAGAGAGGCTAAGGGCGTTTGTTGTGGGAGGGGTGTGGAAAGGCAATATCGTACGAGATGGAGAGGGTATAATGGAAGTATAGAAAAGGCGTGAAGATTGAGGTTTTTTTTAAAAATATGATATTTTATTCGAGAATTTTGTCATAATTTTTCATTAGATTATTAGTATGGTGTATAGGCTTTCAACTATCGGAGCGCGGCACTATATTTTGAGACTACAACGAATATGTAAGCTTTCAAACAGCGCACAATTTCTGTGCTTGAGTGAAGTCCGGAGTCTACGTGTGTTATATAAGTACTTGCCTTTGCCAACTTCGATTATGAACTGGCTTCCGCAAAGCAACATACACACAAGCCTTTTAACACTCCTCCTTGGGCTCTTTCATCCGAAAGAGACCACTCTATACATGGAGTGCGGAAGCTATCGTTGTGATTACTCGCTCCACGAGTAAATCTTGTATTCTGTAGCACACAACCAGACGGCCTTATGTTGGCATCTAAATATGTTAACGTCTCCATCGAGGTTATAGCCTTGCTTATGTCTGCACTCACTCACCTTGGCCTTGTAATTAGAGGACGGCGACCCTCACAGTAGGCGCAGTACTCTGTCAAGAACACTGTCCCAGCATTGCGAAGGCCATGGCAATCCCTCTGAGTGTGGATACGGCTTCGGTGGTCCGTAGTCTTCCAGAACTGATTCACAGGCACATCGTCCGGTACCGGGTGATTCTGATAGACTATGCGAGTTTCGACTCGCGGTTCTGGCTCCCGTAGTGGTGGCGTTTGTGTCGCCGCGGCTCGCGTACTCACAGTCGCTGTAGGAGCATAATCGGCTGTGCAGGTCCTCAGGGGTCTACGCCAGGCCTCTGATTCAACTTCGATCTCTCGACATAGGCTTTCTCGGTCCAGTTCTTCCTGGGCTGCTGTCCTCGCCAGATCTCGAAGCCTGCGAACCCTCCTCTCCTTCGCAGTCTCTTCCCTGATTCCCAGTGCCCAAAAGGCGATCCTTTTCCCAAGCTCCCACATGCTTACTGCTGTAATGCAAACCAGCACTATTATAACAGTCAGCTCATCAAGCCCAGCCAGCGAAACATTCCTTCCAGGCACCTTCTCTGCAACCTCCGCAGCCTCTATAGGAACAGCCTGCAAGGCTATCATGAGGCACATTAAGGTTGCGATCTTCACCTTGTCGTTGATGGTTGCCAGCGGGCCCCCGATAAAGCCCCATAGACTCATAAGCTCGGCAAGGCGCACCTTGCCATGAAGCTTGGTGGGCAGATCTACCAGTTGGAACTGCCCACTGATATGGCTTACAGTGAGTTCTCCTCGCTATTGCATATTAGAAATGAATACACATCTGACCTTGAGGTGGCGCGTGCGCCACGATCCTTGACAACCTCCAATCAACGAAACAGAGGCACTGTTATCAATGTACAAGGTTTGCGGAATTTCTTTCCCAACGATTTCAATAATCAGCGCATGAACTCCTTTCATCAGCAGGGTGGTCTGAGCTGCCTCATATAACTCTGCTTCTGCAACCGACATAGTTGTAAATGCTTGGTGTCCGCATTTCCAAGGAATCACCGAACCGTTGAGCGTGATGGTTGATGCTCCATATGAACGTCCACCAAACGGCGCGAAAGAAGCGTCCGAGAACCCTTCTAACCTCAACCCTATGTTTGCACAGTGGGAAGCTGCTTCTGGTTTGGGTGGTGCTGCTGTTGTTGGTGCTTGCTGCTGGTGCTGTCCTGTAGGTTGTCTTCCACCAAGCTATAGCTGAACATCCATAGAGGCAGCCAAGTAAGCCATGACTTTCAGGCCCACTCGATAAACATGACAGGGCCGCCTCGACAATGCTGAAGCCATCATCGTCACCACGAAGAGGATGTCCGGTCTCGCCCTTGTCACCCAGAGCAATTCTCCTGTCACTTTTTGAGCTCTTCTTAGCTCCTCTGGAGTAAACTGCTCTTCGTTGGCGGTCAAATCGTCGCCGTCTTCGTCCACCAACCACTCACGGGGACATGGTAGACGAACATGCCCTCCAGGTTCCAGGCCATAGTTTCTCACCAAGCTTTCCAAGTAACCTCTTTGGGAAATGAGGAAGTAGTTCTCCTTTTGTACAATCTCCACTCCCAAATACTTGGTGCCATCCGTTGTCCACTCAAGCGGACTGCTCGGCCATTCCTCGCAAAACCATGCATGAAGTGTAACAATAACCTGGTTCTCTGCCAAATACAGTAGATCATCGACATAGGTGACAAGGACACCCGCCAAGACATCAGAAGCTCCCTCAACACAGTAGAGGATCATCCAAACCTCCGGGTCGACTATTGTAGCTCTGAATATCAAGTGGCCATTTTTCCAAGGCACCCTTACATACCGTAGGCGCTCTCTCCTGAAGTCGCTCCATATCGCCGGGCTTTCGCGCAGCCCATAAAGGGCTCTGTCCACCTCCTACGCTTCGAGTGCCGTGGCCCTTTCGGCCATGATGAGCGTCTTTGGTGGCAGGATGGCGTAGCGCCGCATGTGCCGCGGCCAAGGCGCCAGCAAAAACGCCCCATTAATGTCGGAGCCGGCACCGGCCCAGTAGCAGACGCTTGCCAGGGTTAAAGCCACCCTCATCGAATCCGCTGAGGCTCCCGCTGCGTAGAGCTCCGCTTGGCTTTGGCCTTCGGACCGTTCTGCGAAATTACCACATAGCACCAAACGACACTTTCTTCTCCACTTTGCCTTGCCCTCCTTCTTCTTTGAGCCATCTGAAGATGAGGGAGCTGACACAGCTCCTTGATTGGGCGGCTTGCATATGAACACCAGCTTGCTGGGCACAATGGTCAACTCTCCCTTTCGCTCACGTTCCTGAGCCTCCTTCAAGGTTATACGCCTCAAGGTAGCGTCCTTGCCATCCTTGAACAGAATACTGAGCTCCTTGTCGATAGCTGGGACCCATAGCTCAAGGTTCTTTTTCACCTGGTCCAAGGGAATATTCAAGACAACTTGTAACTCACCCTCGAGCTCGCGGAGATGCTTCTCCACATCGTCAATCTCTTGGTTGTCGGGGGTGTCACAACTTATGCCCTTTAGGCACCTGGCAATTTCCTCTCCCTCCGCTTGAACCATCTCATCGGCAGTCTGCTCGATCATGTCAACGAGCAGCTGGTGGGTGAGGTCGGCTTCCTGCGTGACTTGCTTGCCCATTCGGTGGTACTCTTCCAACAGAATTTCCTCCTCCTCAAGTAGGCGTCTCAATGTGACCGATCGCTCTTGTAGTTCTTCAAGTAGATCTTGTTGGTCCTCATTGAGTTGGGCCAATCTCAAGTACCATGAGGAATCATCATCTTCCTGAAGAGGGGCAAACATTGTAGGCTGCGCTTTCTCGCTGTCCTGGTTGTCATTTGGCTGTTCATCACATGGAGGAAGCTCAAAACCCAAACCACGCAACTCCTCCTCATCCTTCGCTCCCAAATTTGTAAGGCGGGGGGTATAAGTGAGGAGCGCAACGCGGCGTCCCTTCCATTGTTCGGTCTGATGCCAACTTCCAGGAGAAAACGAAACGATCTCACCTCGATGAAGTTCATGTAAGACTCCTCTCTTCCATTGATCAGGCTTGACCTCTCTCCACACATCGTTGTAGCCATATTCCTCGTCGCTCTTTTCCACCCACACTTGACCATTGTCAAACTTCGTCAAGGCCGTCACGGTGTTTGTAGTTCCACTTTGATTGTGGCTATCACGATGCGGTCCCATGTTCACATTCTCCACGATGGCCACACAACCAAAGTTGGGTTTTCCAGTGATCTCCTTGGCAGCCTTCACAAGATAGGCGGTCATATTCGGGAGCAGCTTAGCCATCTTCATAATACCGCAGACTCCCCCATGCGTGAAGCAGCCGGCATAGAAGGAGCCGCCATCTTCCTTGACTGTCATCACCTTGGCTCCCCTTCTCGTAGGACGCGGTATTTCTTTTAATCTCTCCCAAAGAGCCAAAATATCTTCGGGCTCGTACATCTCTTCAACATTGAGGTTTCTGGCATAGTTCTCGATGTCCTCGTAGGGGCTGGTGATCAGGGCTAGCCTTGCCTTCGCTCGCAGCCTTCTTGTTGGAACTGGTAGATCAACTTCCAAAGGTTCCTCTTCAACAAGCGCCTCTGCGTCCACCAAACCATCACGAACATGGCAACTTGTAACGAAGGTTCCGTCGTCATACCTAACCACAAGCCATTCCTGACGTCGCTACTATAGCCAACAAACCGTCCTTCACGCCACCTTGGATCAAGGTCGTAGGAACCACCTGTCCCAAACACCTTCGACTTCACTGCTACCTTTGTGCCAAAGCCGGGCTCTCCCTTTGTAGGTTGTCCTAGAGCTCGCTTACGTTGTCGCTGGGCTGAGAAGCTCATTGCTAAGGGCCAACATTCCCGTGGAAGCGAAGAACTCCCCAATAGGACCTTGGCATACTTCTTCAGGTTCTTCACTGCTGCCTCGGCCCTGCCATTCTGCTGAGGGGTTTGGGACTCACCAGTGGTGATCCAAACGTCTCTTTCATATAACCACTGCCTCAACGTCGCCGACTTCAGTTCTCTCGCCCTGTCTGAATGGACACGAGCCACAGGGTGTCCTTCTTGTCTCAACTGCAGGTACATCCTTCTCATAGCCGTGTTCACATCTAGCTTTTGCCTGGACTTCAAGGGGACCACATAGAGCAACGTCTGGTACTCGATGGAATCACCAACCTCCTTGTAGACCTCATCGTAGAGCTTACGGTACTCATCGTTTTTCTGGTCTAAGTCAACTCGATCACTCTCGGGCAACGGTGGCTCTTGAGACTCCTCCTCGGTTAAGAAATCATCATCGTCATAAACGACTGGACCCACACCACGACCATCATCGCCCCTCTCCTGTTGTACTGGATTTGAGTCACGTCCTCCATCGTCTCCTGGATGTACTGGGCCTGGATCACGTCCTCCATCGTCTCCTGGATGTACTGGGCCTGGATCACGTCCTCCATCGTCTTCTGGATGTACTGGGCCTGGATCACGTTCTCCTTTATCCTCTTGCAAGTCAACGGGGATATCGATGTCCTTGTATCCTTCCAGCCTTGGCATATAGTAGGAACCAACCAGTGCATAGCGGTACTTGCCGTCGACATCAATTCCCCTTTATCTGAAAGGACCTGCCACATCAACGCTCAAGACATAGGCCGAGGGGTTCAAGACCTTGCGGTGAGGTCTTCCAGAACCTGCGCGTGTAACGCAAGTTCTACATCTTTTGTGGAAAGGAACATGTCTATCCCTCACGTGCTTCGCCCACTGCTTGAGCTCCTTCTCCGTCATCTCTTCAAGGCGGCCTTCCATCTTGCAAAGTAACTGTGCTTGTCGAACACGATCAGGCCATTTTCTCCATTCTTTGACTCATAGCCTCCATCAGACGAGAAGTCCATCTTGCTGGAGAGCCCTTTTTGGTAGTTGTTGCCTTGCCGCTGAGGTAGTTCATGAAGTTCATATTGGTGGCTCCATGAAATTATTGATCGTGTTCAGTATCAACACATACATGAGAAAGTTGGTGCTCATCACGAAATCCTCTCCACTCCAATGAACTCCACCAGTCCATCTCGTCTGGGTACTCCATGAAAAGAAAAGGGCTCCTCATATGGTGAACTACAGATCCCCTTTCCGCCACCATCCACAGATACATCAGCTTCTGCCTCAGCTCACCAACTCCTCCTCGTGGGGGGCCTCCAAGAACCCCTTCAAGTTGTCCCCGGCACGCCGCCCACAACAAGGCCCTCATGATATTGTTCCAGCCCTTCATATTGTACACCTTAGAACGCTGAAGATCGATCTCCAAGACCACAACATCCTCCTTCTCCAATTTCTTGAGCTCCTCCGTGGCAATTTCATTCTTCCCGTCATACAGGTGCACAATCCATCGCGAACCATGCAATCTCCTTCTCATCTTCCTGTTGACCGGCAAAGCCTTCAGGTAGCTCAAGCCCGACTCATCACTCAGGTCCAAATTCGAAGGGCCAACAAACCCAAATCTCTCAGTACTTGTCTCCAAAGGAATAGGGAAGGACGGGTCCATCATAGCCCTTAATGCACTGCTTCGGTTTCCAGTGCTCACGTAATCCTCCAAGCTTAAATCCCAGGGAAGAATTGCACTGGTAGATGAAGAGGACCATGGGCTTCTTATAGTCGCCTGCTGAAGGCCTTCCAGGTTCTTATCCTCGATCTCGGCTATCAGACGAAGCGCCTCCAACTCAGAGATGTAGGGGCAGGACCCCTTCATCTTGATTTTGAGGTTGCCGTGCACCGGGTACACCACTTGAAGCCCTCCACGTCTTGACCAAGAGACCGAGCACCCCAATTGTTGTACAAGAGAACCTAGCGGAACAATCGGCGCATGCTGGTTGCCTCCGCTTTGCTTGAGAAGGGTGCCGGTTGTAGTCTGTCTCAACTCCACCGTTTGGCCGTCCGCCAATTCCACTCCAACGTTGGTCGCCCGTTCAAACTCATTGGTGTCAACAGGAGGTCTGAAAGGGTGGGAAGCACCCGAATCGAGCAACACCAAACCGTGCTGATCCATGCCCGCTGACCTGAGCAAGAGCTCCAACTCCTCTGTGGCCTTGTTGGTGTCCTCCACCCTTGCTCCCATCAACTGAATCTTGCTTAGCATGGAGCTCGCTTCCTTGAGTAGCTTCTTCATTTCCTCCCGGTGCGCCGCTGCTTCATCTCCTGTCGGTGGCGCTGATGTAGTAGTAGAGGTAGTCGCTACAGGGTCCGAGGGAGCAGGAGTTCCAGAGGATGGAATTTCGGCCATAGAAGCTTGTATCCTAGCCGCAGTGCTGGTAGAGGAAGTCGTATTCGCCGTTGAGGTTGAGGCTGGCTGGCCTTGCTGCTTCCCATTTCCCTTTGCTCCATCATTGGTAGTCGTTGGGCAGCTCTGCTGGCGGTGGCCCGTGGCACCACAAGTCCAACACCTTGTTTTGCGATCGGCCTTGGAAAGAAACTCGTGGGCGTAGGTACAGTTGTTGCCACGTCTGCAGCCCGCCTCACTCTGGAAGAACTTGCATGGATTCTTTCCCTTCTTCGGAGACGTAGTGGGTGATCCTGAGCCTCCGGTCCCAGGGGTCGCCGCCGTGGTTGTGTTTGCTCCCTTTAGCCTCGCTCCATCTTGATTGTTCTTGACATTGGGGGTAACCTGCTGGAGCTCTGCTAAGGCATGCTGGTAGTACTTCAACACCGTCTCCGACGTGGGGGCTGAGGAAAGCCTCAGCTCGTTTCTCGCCAAGGCGAGGCGAAACTTCCCATCAGCAAACTTCTCCAGCACCCGGGCCATTATCTTCTCGATCCCCTGAAGCTGCAGACTCGCATCCGGAAGGGCTATAGACATCTCCTCAGCCCGCGCCAGATAACGTCTCCATCGTCTCAGCTGTGTAACAACTTCTCCTGGATCTTCAGAACCCGGGGCTCCTTCCAGGTGTTTCAATATTGCTGTTCTTTCCATCGCACCACCTGGCTGATAAAGAACGTGAAGTCTGTAGAGAACTCCAGCCACGCTCTCCACTCTATGGGTGATCGTGTCTTCTCTCACCGCCTTCGACATAGCAGCGAGGAGGAGCGAGAGCACCCGTCGCTCCAAGCGAAACCACTTGGCATCCTTGAGCTCCTCGGTCATCGTGGGAGACATACTCAACCGCTCCAAGGCTGAGGCTCCTTGATATCGCACGTAGGCCTCCCTGGCGCACGCCAGGCATTTGGCAAACCATGAGCTCGTATTGTCCGTCAGGGCACCAAGCTGCTGCTCTGTAATATACAACCAATCGTTGAACTCCACCGCCGCATCACCTGGCTCTGGCATTCGCTGTAGTTCCACGCTGCCCTTTACAGCTTCCGCCTCCACTGGATCTTTGCGGTTCATCTGGAGTTGCTGAAGTTGTCGCATTCCCTGCACCAAAAGATACAGATGATCCACCATGGCATTGTCCTCTCCAAACGTGGCACCGACGCCAGGCCCTTCTCCTTCCCCAGGTTGGAATCCTTCGCCGTGCACACTAATACCCGCGGGTCCTTGGAGGTGCTTCTGACTGGCCTCTTCACCATCAGGATCTCGAGGATTGCCCCCAGGTACAGGAGATTGTGCCGGAAGTCCAGCAGGAGGTGTTGGCCGATCTACACGGCCACCTCCTTCAATTTGAAGACGCTCAAGACCTGGGGGTGCTTCACCAGCTCCACCGCTAGGGAGTTCAGCCCCAGGTACTGAAGATTGTGCAGGAAGTCCAGGAGGAGGCCGGGCACGATCTTGAGCTCCTTGACGTTCTAGGCTAGGATTGCCCCGAGGTTCCACGCCCCGAAGTCCCAAACTTCCATCCATCAAGGTCCCGGGCCCACGATCATCCATCACCTCTTCGGACTCCCTGGTAGTCAAGGCAAACACAACCTGCCTCAACTCTTGATTCTTATCTTGAAGCCTTTTCACCTCCGTCTCCCTTTCATCCAAAGCTGCCTTGACCTGCTTTCGAACTTCTTCCATGATCACCTCTTGGCTAAACGAAGCATTGGAAGACTCCTCTGCTTGCTGCCTAGGCCTTGGAGTCAGCAAAGAAGGCCTCGAGGTCCACGCTGACATAGCTTGCCGAACGTCCTGAGGCATGAGAGGTCTTCCATGCGTGGTAGGAGTCGCTGGCTGGGAATACCAAACCGACTGCGGCGAGGCCTCAGCTTGAAGTTGTCTGCTTCCACGTCCAGCTGAGTTGACTTGCTCCATCACAGGGGTAACAACTCTCCTCTGGATCACCTCGCTCACTCGTGCAAACCACGCTGGCCTAGCCGCCGAGGGGTGTTCATCTTCTTCATGTCCGAAAACTTCACCAGCTTGGGCATGATCAGTTTGGCGCATGTGCACTTCCTGAACAAGTTCCCGTCTCACCACGGACTCATGAGCTCTTTGTTGAACACCTTCAGCTACCCGTTCATGCCGTAAAGGAAGCTGTTGTAGTTCACGCGCAGGTTCTGTATCTCGTGGTGGTAAAGGTTGACCAGGAGCTGCTGCTGCTGGCTGTTGCTGTGCTTGTTCGTTTGTGGTTTGTGGCTGCTGAGGCTGCGGTGCCTGCTGGGGCTGTTGTGGGTGCTGTTGGCTTGAATACACCTCACCCCCTAAACCCAAAGACTGGTTCGCCGTCGTCGCGTCCGGTCCGGTTGTTTGTTCAGGTCTTGCACTCCCCAAGCCTTCACGCTCACTTCCCACTCCAGCAGTCTGACTTCTAGTAGTAACTCCGTTAGGAAGGGCAGGCAACGAAAGATTCCCGCCTTCTCGTCCTGCTGTACCGTAGGCCGGTCCTGAGCTCTCGCCTTCCAGTATGCTGGGCCTTCCAGCATGCGATCCTGAGGAAGAACGTGATTGGGCGCTCATAACCTGTAGAAGATACGAGGCACCAGGAGGGCTTACAGGCTTTCAATCATCGGAGCGCGGCACTATGTTTTCAGACTGTAACGAACATGTAAGCTTTCAAACAGCGCACAACTTCTATGCCTGAGTGAAGTCCGGAGTCTACGTGTGTCATGTAAGTGCTTGCCTTTGCCAACTTCGATCATGAACTGGCTTCCGCAAAGCAACATACACACAAGCCTTTCAACATTATATTATTTCGATTTGGAAATACGAAATTAAGAGAATTTGATTATAATATTTCAATTTATATAGATATTATAAATTAAAAAATAGAGATGATTATTTTTGGAAAATATAGTTTTTTTATATATTAATTAAGAATTATTAATAATTGCTTGAATTATAAATTTTATGGATATTTAGATTTAAAAATTGGTATATTTATATGATATAGAATAATTTGAGAAATTTTATTCTAAGAATTAGGTTTAAGATAAATAATTATTAAAATCTAAATATAGATATTTTATTTCACGATTTTATAAAAGAATATATGAGGTATTATAAAGTCGTATTAAGATATGGATAATTTTTATGATTTTTTATATATAGGCTAATTGGATTCGTGAAAATCATAGAATATATTA